AAGGTGATATAATGTCCTTGGAATGGGGGCATGCAAATAATCTTGAAGAACTGACCTAAATCGAATCAAATCGATCAATTTAAGTTAGTTCTCACAAGTCATGATTCACATTCAGTTCCTAAAGTACACAATAATAAAACTTCATTTCTCTAATTTTGGTCACATAAACTAAAATTGCCCCCAATCGAAACCTATCCTTGATAATATAAATAATGCAAGATTTATTTAGTTTGAAGTGATATTTGTACCATAATTTGTATGGTTGCACATAAATTGCTTAAAGCATAAACCTCTATTATTATGCATTGAACCTAATTTTTTTTATTGAGCTCTAATTGGAATTTTGTGTTGAGGTTGAATTGCAGAAATTTGATTTTTCTTTTATGAGGATGTAAATAAAGTGCTGCAATTTGACTTTTCTTTTATGAGGATGTAAATAAAGTTTGAAGCAGTCAATTTCCTTAAAATGACCAAACCACTAGTACTGATTTTGCTTGAGAAATAAACCAAAACCGAATCGGTAAGTTTTGTTTAATCTCAAGAATTCAAGCCAATTTTATTTCCAGTAATGATAATCTAATAGGTTATGTTTGGCGATCAATTTCATTAGGAACTTCTCTAATACAATCCAAGTTGCATCTCTACTTTGGGTAGCCGAGAAGGTGTTAGAAGCAGCATATTAGCGCTTCAGTGCTACACTGCTATGTGTCAAGAGACTGATAAACAAAATGTAGGTGTAATGGAATAGAAAAGATGAGCGTCAGTTAGGATTGGGAAGAAAAATAAAAGCATTTAGTCGATTGACTGGGGGGGGGGGAGGAAAATATCAAATTTAGCCAATCGACCAGCGATGAGACAAAAGCAAGAGGGAGGGAGAGAGAGAGCGAGAGAGAGAGAGAGAGAGATGATATATGTCAATATTTAATGCAATCTACTAGTGAGAGAAAGAAAGGGATGCTATGTGTAAATATTGATGCAATTTATAACTTATGACTAAGTAAATACAAGGGTTGTAGGTTTATAGCAACATTATAAGGGCTTTAGGTTGGCAACAACTATAAAAGCCCTAAACCTATGTGGCATAGTTTTGAGATTACCTTCTTGTCCTAGTAGGGCAAAAGCTCTGATGAGCTGAGCAACCAAATCAGTCTTATCGTGTTGTGGAGATCATTCTTTGAATGAGCTCGAGCTCTTCTCAAACTCAAGCTCAAGCTCATTTTTTACAACATACAAGCATAAGATTACAAAGTTTTATTTGATCTAGATTGTCTTAGTTACATCCTTAATTGAAACTATTCTCAAGACGTCTTTTCTTATCTCTGGTATGCATTTTAATATGTTTTATTTTCTTTCCAATGGTTGGCTATGCAAGTATTTAACTGTCAAACTCATAATACATCAGTTGAATAGGTGTTTGATATGTTTTTATCCATTTATAATTGGTAAAAATCACATTCATGAGTTTTATTTCTTTTTTTATTTTGATAAACCTTTGAAATTTCTTTATTCTTGACTACTTCTGACATTTTAGATTGGAGTTTTTTAATGCTTCTCTTTTGTTATTTTCAAAATCAGATCAAATCTCTTTGTCTGTGTTGTTATTGATAACATTCATTGCTCCAGGTAGGAGTTCAACATGCCTATCTGATTTAAGGGACTGATATAGCTTCTTTTTTGCTCTAGCATTTGTTTTCTGATTGCTCAGCATGTCTATTGCTTCCGTCGTCCTATGCTTCAGCTTGAAAAGTTTCTAAATTTTACCATTAATGGTTGGGTTTTTCAACTAGTGACGGATATGATAAATTTGTGTCCTCAAATTCTGTATAGGATTGCTGTTCACTGCACATCCAAAGGTTTCCTTATCCTATTTTTATGAATTCATCTCTCTTTTTATTGTGTCTTGCCTCTTACTGGCCTAGAAACAGGGTAGCATCTCATTATCTCACTTATCAACATCTTTATTATCAACCTAAAATGTGCTTAAACATTTCCTTTTAAGGATCGGTTGGGCAGGACTTCTATGAAAAATTTGCGATCAAAAACATCATAAATTAATTCAATATCACTGATGATTGGAGACCTTGAAATATGTCCTAATAAAGAACTGCAATAATCATTTAATTATGCATATAACTATCATTACTCTCTGGAATCTTCAATTTAATATTTAACGTAGCTTTATGACTAAACTTCTACTTCCTTCTACTCTGCATTTATATTTTTTAGTTTCCTTCAAATCTTAGAATCAAATAAAATGATAGATTTTGCATACCTTAATGCATTTCTTCCTCTTTTCATATTCCTTTTTTTCCTACACACCCAAAAATTACAAAATTTTCTAGTAATTTAAAAGATGAATTACGGCTTGTTGATTTGGAGTTGAAAGGTACATCTAATTTGAAAGAAAGAAGAAGAAAATAAAACCTAGCTTTGTCTCAGGCATACTTTTGATCTGCATAAAATGTGGCTGCTGTAAGCTGCGGTCATTCTCATGCACAGCTGCACTTTTGCTTTCACTCCTTTTCTCTCTCTTTTGCTCACTCACATAACCCCCATCTCCATCTCTTTTAATCGGGAACCGTTATGAACGTTCAATATATTTTTTTTTATTCAGCTTTTACAATCTTCTCTTTTATAAAAATTTTGTTGTCAAAATTTAAAATTATAATAATAAAAATCATATTTTAATTGAATAGATAACATTTTAGTTTTTTTTTTTATTATTTCTTCTTCCATGTAGCACGTCTATTTGTCCTGTATTTTTATAAAATTTATACAAATGAAATATTTTGATAGTCAAGTCACTTTATATCATAATTCAATATTTTCTCTAGCTCATCTATATATGTTGGGTTGGGTTACATATTTATGAAATCTGTGACAACTCTATTTAACTCATTAGTTATGTTTCTTTTAGCGCAGATATATTAAACATACTATGCACTACCTGTTTAAGTGCTGAAAATGTCAGCCCTCAACCCGCATACTACCTTTTCAATCTTTTCAATGATTTCAGCGAGTCCTACATATCATGGGCTTAGCTTCCTTAGCTTAATAAAATGTTGCACAAATTTCATTGGACTGACTTTAATATATACAAACTCATCAACATTAAATTTCATTGGTATGTGCTCAGAATAATAGTTTTTTCATTATCTATTTTGTACAAACCTTCAATTTATCCCGAATCAACCTAATTTTACAATAGCATCGTCTATCAAATAAGCATTAATTATCTTTCATTCAACTATTTCTGCCTAACAAAAAGGAGTTATACATTTACTTCCATAGTTCTTCATAAGGTATCATAGCAACATTTGATTGAAAACTGGTATGTGTCTCCCCCAACCTCAACTAAAAGAGTAAAATCAAATACACATAATTTAAGTAAATCTTTTAAGATTTGAATTGTCATTTTTGATTGGTTGTTAGTTTGATGATTAAATGTGGTATTATATATCAGTTTACTACCCAAAGTCTCTCGAATCATCTTCCACAACCCGAATGTAAACCTATCACTTCTATTTGAAATTAAAACTTTGATACCCAATACATTTGGACAATCCCATCCATATCTAATTTTCCAATTTTCCAATTTTTCGATAGAATAAATTGTCTAATACGCAAGAAATATTATGACTTAGATTAGACTTGGTTAATCTATTGATAAATCATTGTATTTAAATTTTTGTCCGGCTTTGGCTCTCTATGATCTCGAGCCTAGTGTAACATTGATGACATCAAATAGTTTGGATAAGCTTTTTGCTGATGTTGATGTGCATGAAAATATTTTTATACAGTTTTGGGCTTTTCAATTTAAAAATTTATCAGTATAAAATAAAGTCAAATAAAGTGATAAAATATGGTATATTTCATTTTTTTTTAGATCATGTTTTTTTTACTTTCAAGCAACCAAATACGACCTTAGTTAAAAAAGTAACTTATTGTACCTTTTTTTATTCATTCCCAATTATTTGCTAAAAACATTTCGCTTTGTTGGGCAAGAGCTTTGCAATTTGAAACTTACTAGTTCCAAATTATTTTTATTGTTATTTTTTTTATCCGTTTCCTTTATATACCATCCTTTAAATGACTTATTTTATGTCTAATATCCCTTACACTCCTAGTTGTGTAGTAAAAAATATAATATATATGTTAAAAAAAGGCATACCTGTTGCATGAAGCTCCCATCTTCTTGGGAGACGATATATGCAATCTCATCCTTTTATGGCAATTGACATAGAGATTGTTTCATAGGAACTATTATATAATCATTCAAATGCTAATTTTTCAATGAAAAGGACAACTTTACTTTTCATTCTATTTTGGGTCCACAAACTTGTATGATCTTGAAAGTTGAGTTCACATTATTGATTGTGATATACAACATAAAAATTATTTGTGGAGTGTGTTTCATGAACTTCATAATTATTTCTCCATCATCAAACATGTGAAAATAAAGGTTGATCAGGTCGTATAAAGATTACTTAAAATTTTGGTTTTACTTGTATAGTTCACAAATCAAAACTTTAAGAAGAGTTTCAATATCAACTCACAATGTCTTTAACTCCGATTATTCGAAAGTCTCTGCACATTCAAATCATAATATATCTTCTAATACAACAGCCTCTATCCATTTTTTGAGTTTTTGTATTGCCATCAATTTTAATGATAATAAAAATAATGTATATTTTTGATCTTTACATCTAAAAGACATAAAATTGGGATTTTTCGAACTCCTTCAATTTTAATATATTCCTATAAGCTAATTCATTTCCATGGTCTACTTATAAATAATATTTTCACGTCCTTCTGTACTATCCTATCCTATTTTTGTTCTTGTTCATGATTAATGGAATACAATTTCTACTAATTCATTGAGTAGGTTATTTGTCGAATTTTAACAGCAACTAATGACTGTTTTATGATTTCAAAATCATAATTTAGGCTAGTATTCAATCATTTCACTTGTCACTATATATACATCTGTTTTTCATCAGCGGCTTGCAATCAGATTATTGTATAATGGACGTGCTCCATCTGTGATTGATGAAACTAGACAGTTGAAGGTTTACAAGTGTGCAGAGTCAATGTGGAAGTTTACATACTATGTTACTGTTCAAATGTGGGTAATATCAATACTTCGCCAAGCACCTTGGTCTATGAATACGAAGGAGTACTTTAAAGGATGGCCAAATCAAGAATTAGGGTAGGTACAGTGGTATGATCTTCCTAATTATGTGAAGCTTAATGAGGGTTTTGTCACCAAATTTTGTAGGTGCACTGATTTTCTTCTATTTTCTTATTCTTATTAGGTTTTCGATGAAGCTTTTCTGTATGTGCCAATGTGGATATTATATGTACAGTATTGTTGCCCTTTTGATATGGGAAACTCGAAGAAAGGATTTCTATATAATGATGTCACATCACATAATTACTTCCATTTTAATTGGTTACTCTTACATCACCAGGTAATTTATTCATGCATAAGTGTAATGCAATTTGTGCTATTTAGCTGTACTTTGTTGGAAAACGATATCTTATTGTAAGCTTCACAAAGGAATTAGGTCTTTGGATGGATGTCTTATTATAACTGCATTTGCTTTGAACGCATGTAATACAAGAAGTGATGTGTGTAATGTAGCACATCTGTGTGTGTTTATGAGATGTTATATATCATTTTATGGCTTCTCAAATATGATGATTTAGCTCTTTCTCCTATGTAACTGATGTTTACTAAGTTAGTAAATTGAATTTTTTTGCAATGGTTAGAATCTATGACCTCCAATTTAGAGGTCAAAATCATTACCACTTATTCAAGTGGTTTCTAAATGGAAATTGCCTGAGTAATTTTATTGAGTATTTTTTTTAAAATATACATGCGCCGAAAGAGTCACTGTAAAAAGGAAAGCATCTCCACAAAAGGTGAAAACAAACTCAATGTGAGAATTGCTGTAAGATAGGCTGGAAACATTTCCCAAAAATTTCCTCTAAACAATACAAAGGACCAAACAGGGTTTATTTACTTCTAAGTGACTGAGACTTCCCATAAATGTAAGCTATTATGGTTAATTACAATCAGAGTTTGATACTTAAGAACACTCTTGATTAAGAATGTTCTGCGCTTATTTTATAGTTTAGGTTCATTCAACACAAGATTCATAGATTGAGATCCTTTAAACAAAGGAATTAGAATATCATCTAAAAGAAGGATTAATGAGTCCTTGGGACTACATGGGTGTGTGGTGTCAACTCAATAGCGGACACAATCGTGTGTGGGTTGTCAAGGAACATTGTGATCAGATTATGTTGGCACCTTCCTTTTAGAGAAGGCTTAAAGTTCATGATTAGAGATAAGCCTATCACGAAAACACTCAGAGGGGAATATGTCTTATAACTTCACAACAATTACATGGGTGATTAATTGCTGCCCATAATCACGTGAATTATAAAAGAATGATAGGACTAATGATCTTTCTTTAATTATAACCACTATCGCTATGCCGTTATTACTTATATTTTTTATTTTATTTACTGATTATATTTTTCCTCCTTCGTTTTATTCTATTTTATTTTCTTTCCTTTTATTTTATTCTGTTTTTATTGATTTCTATTATTATGTTTATTGTAATTGTGTTTAAATACCCCTTTATGATATCAATAAAATTGTATTGGTCTATTCAAAATCTCAACATGATATCAGAGCCTAGTCCTTGATCTAGCAGGCCCCAGCCTCCTCTGCCTTTTCCAGTAGCCGTCACCTCCACATCTTAGCCAGTGGCCTCCCTTGCGGAGTCCACGAACAACAGTTTTTTTGCGAACTACAGGAATTCCAGAAGACGTCTTCCTGTTTGCTCTTGTTTCGTTAGGAACGGCAGGAATTCTGGAAAGCTTGCATTCAAAGAACAACAGCAGGTTTCTGCTAACAGCACTTCCTATCTACAATTGTTCGCTCTTCCTGCAGGTTTCAGTAGCCGCTAGAGCAATTCTTGCAGGTTATGTTGAGATCTGGACATAATTTAGAAGCAATGAAGTCGGACATCACTGCACGAACACCAAATTTACGAGCCTCATAATTTGCAGCGGATATTGCGAAAAACCACCAACTGCTATAGGCTTTCCCTGCAATGATAGATTTTCCAACTTCTCCATAACAGCTTGAAAGACATCTATATCACTTTCCTGCCTGTCTTCCCTTTGATCCTTCTCGCTGGGTTTGGCGGCTGCCTCAGATTTTCTCCAAATTTCCTACAGATTACATAATATCCAGAAGTCTGGCTCCCAGATTTTCTACAGTCCAGCTGCCGTCTTTTCTACAGCCTTCTTGCAGCTTTTCTGCATCTTGCCTGCAGCCTTCTTGCAACCTCCCGGCAGCCTTCTTACAACTTTCCTGCATTTTTCCTCCAGCATTCTTGCAACTTTCCCTGTAGTTACCCATCAGTTGATGACTTACAAATCCATCAATGTCTTGGAATTTTATCCAAACTCGGGACAAGTGTTGGAAACTTCACGGTAAACAAATATACAAACTTTTAGCCAAATCCTCTGCTACTAAGAGCCTCACAGCAACATACGAATCTATAACTGTTCAACCAACTTCTACCCGGAACATCCTAGAATCCTTTGAATCCCTGAGAAACTAGATGGAGAAATTGATCAAGCTACTTGGAGCACATCAAGTCTCTATGGGTCTGTCGACCCCCCACGTTTAATAAGATACTCTTTCTATTGCTTTCACAATTTATTCCACCTTTAGTCTATGAAATATTGATTGCCACGGATCACATGACCGGATGCTCACATCTTTTCTCGACTTACTATCTGTGCTCTGGAAATGTTACGTCAGATTTGTGGATGGCTTTTGTAGTTTCATTGCTGATAAATGGTCGGTTGTTCTAACAATCGATCTCATTCTGGAAACTGGTTTACAAGTTTCACAGTTGCAATGTAACTTGTTATCTATTAACAAGTTGATGAATGATATTGATTGCGTTGCTAATTTTTTTTTTTATGGTTGTGTTTTTAATGATGTTCGGAAAGGATGATTGAACTGCTAAGAGGGTAGTTGAACTCTATTACTTTTAAAAGAAAAGCATGGAAAGTGAGAACACACCTTTCAAGAGTTGTAGCTTATCTCGAGTCATTGAATGTTTTATTATGTTATTGCATTGCCATTTAAGTCATTCTAATTTCTAATAGTTAAAAAAGTTATATCTTTGGATGTTTTCTAATAAAAATCTTTCTAATTCAATTGTGAGACATGACTGTGTCGGCACTATTTTTGGTGTGGGGTTTGCCCGTAAGAAGCTGTCGGTCATCGGAATTGAAATCCCGTTGCCCGCTTCGGAAGGACGTTTTTTTAAAAAATTTTATTTTTGAAAAAGATGAAGTCAAACTGACCCCATAATTTTCATAGTTTAGATGAAAGAGCA